TTTTCTCACCTTAGCACCTTTAAGGTTTGTGTCCCCTCTCTCTCTCTGTCTTGCTGCATTCTTCCTTGAAACAACAAAAGCTTTGCTTCTGTCTCTTTTGAGGTTTCCCCTTAAATGTTATCTCTCAGAGAAGCTTCTCTTGGTATGGTAGCACCCCAAGAATTTCCTGTTTTTTAGTGTGCTTATTTTTCTTTTAAATCTTAGAATTTTAAAATATGTTGTATATCCTCTCAAATAAACACTTAAATGTGAAATACATAAGATAAATGTACATACTCTAAGTAAACAGCTCAAATGTTCAAAACTAACTCAAAAATTATTATGAAGACATCATGTACATATTACTCAGATCATGATATTTGGTATCACACCTGTCTGGTAGTATCCCCTTTTCATAGACCATTTTAGTCACTATGCCCATCTTCAAATTAAGTGTTATCCTGACTTCTAACACCACAGATTAGCTTTGCTTATTTTTGTAATTTAGTCATATAACGTGTTCTTTTTGTCTGTCTTTTTTACAGCAGTTGTTTGTTAATTCCATTGCTATGTGGTATCCCTTGCTTGACAAATGCTACAAATGATCTCTTCATATTATGACTGATAGACATTCGTGATGTTAACATTTTTGAACACTACTAACAATTCCGGTGTAAGCATTCTAGTATATATATCATCAGGTTTATATGTTTATACATTTTTGCTTCCTATATACTTGGGCAGGAATTACTGAGCTGAAGTTACATGTATAATTATGATTTTCTTGTTGACTGAATTTTATCAAAGTGTATTTTTAACTACTAAAATGTAAACAAATGATCATTTCTTTGACTATTTCTAAGTCATATATATAGTATGGCTAGACCATATATCTTTATGATTTTGAATCTTTTAAAATTTATTGACTCTTGATCTATAATCCATTATGTGGTCTATTCAGGTAACTGAATTTCAAGAGTATATATAATTCTATATACTCTTGAAAAATATGTATTCCCAGTATATACATAAAAGCACACACACATATATGTGTACATATATATATTGCATATGTATTTGCTACACATAATTATGTATATTTATATCACATAGGTTACTTTTTTTTTTTACCATTCACAAAAATTTATTCAGGATGAATTATAAACCTAAATGTAAAGCCTAGAACCATAAAGTTTCCAAAGAAGATGTAAGAGGATATCATAACTTTGGAGAAGACAAGGTTTCCTACACAGGATGCAAAAAGCCCTAACCACAAAGGTTTTGGTTAAATTGTGTTCTCCAAATGCTTTATGTCCTTAATCATTATTTTGTCTTTTCTTTATCTGTTTAGATTTAATATAAGTACTGATTTATCTACATTCATATCCAACAT